TGTGTGCCGTGGGGGGGGGGGGGGGGGGGGGGGTGTCACCCATGCGCTCGGTGGTGGACCCAGATGTGGACCACAGGTACTTCCAGTCCACTGCTGGGTCCGCCACTGGGCACACAGGGGACCCCCAATGCTCCTGTGGGATGTTCCACCTGCCCCACCATTTCATCATTCATGAGCTGTGCCTGATACCTCGAGGTATGTAGAAAAAACATATAAAGTTGTGTCTATGGCTGAATCACTGATTCTCCAAATCAGAATCAAATCTTCAGATTCAGATTTGGCCTAACTGAATTGGGACAGTGATCCAAATCAGCAAATTGAATCACTGTCCCCTGAATCGGGCTGAATCAGAATCAAATACGGCCCGCTTCGCACACCCAGAGTTAGATTTATTTTTAATTTATGCATTTAGCAACTGTAACTGTAGCAGAGTTACAGAACACAGACATCCAATGAGCACTGGCAATAATGAGCCTGTTGTCTACTTGTATTTTATTCCTGAGTGTAATGCGCATTTATGCCTTGAATACTTTTTCATTTTAATGCAAATCAAGAAAGATGCATTTTTCTAATAAGTATGAACTTGGAAATGCATACATTTAAAACTCATCAGGAAAGGAGTAAAATAATAGGACTAAGGAAATCCAGGTTCTTGTAGTGAAATTCCAGTAACACTGAGCTCTTCACTCCAAAGTTTTTGCTTTGGTATAAGCCATCAGATGAAGGTGTTTTTTTTGTTGTTTTTTTTTTTTTTTAATTCTCACCCATTCGATTTATGGCAATGGCTTTAATTGCTGGCCCATTCTGAATCACACTATTTAAGAGGTCAAACTTGCAAACACCCATTACCCTGTCTAGTGGTTATAATTCTATCCCATGGGTAAAAGTATTTGCAGGATTGGGTCACAAATCACTAAACTAGTTTGTATGGTGTGAACCTTACTACACATTTGAAGAAAACTGGAAAATGTTTTTAACCAAAGACTGGGAAAAACTCTGCACTACCTGCTTAAATCTTGGCAAGATCAAAAAGTCAGCATGCTGAGGTGCATGCAGTACATTTTTTTTGAAGCTAAAAAGAGCTACATTTCAATAAAGACTTATGAACTGAGGTATTGTCTGCTCTGCTCACAAAGATCTGTAACCTGTATAACTGGAGTTCTGCTTCAAAGGCTAAACTTTTCCTTTTGATGCATATGTGTCTGCTGCATTACACTGAATGTGTATGCATGTCAGCTGTAGTGCTTTGGAAGTCTGTGAGATGGAAGATGTTAATGTAGGTCCATTCTTTATTTGTATTCCAACAGCTTACAAAAACTGTGGAAGCATATTTTATGTTTGCTATTCGCTGAAGCATGAACCAGGTTGCTCATATTGGTGTTACAGGAGCAAGGCTAGAGTTAATGTACAAGCTGCACTGTACATAAGACAGACACTACCCCCACAGCAGCCTGACCTAGAACTGCCCTGAGACAGCAGCTCCTGGAACCTTCTCTTCCTTGCATTTAGCTTAACTGAGATGGCTGGGAGAGCTAGGAAGTTAATAGCCATTGCTATCATCTCCCCGGTGGGGGAGGAACCATCAGCAGTGGCAATCTTTAATCCCTTCCAATAGCTCCACAAATCTTAACCATGCGGCCTAGAGACACAAGTTACATATAAACCAGTTTAAGTGATCAGAAATTGGTTTAAACCTGTAACAGAAAAAAAGCTCAGTTCACATAAACCAGTTTCAAAATGGCTTAAACTGATTTAAGATAAACCTGGTTGAATGTAGTATCAGACTCAACTGATTTGGGTTAAACCAGTTTATGAAACTTCTGTCTCAGATTCCTTCCTGATTCAAGTTAAATCACAGTCCCCCAGCATCCCAGCATGCTTTCTAGCCCTGGGCTTGGGCTGTACTGTCTGCTCTATAGAACAAGGTGGGCCCTGCCCTTCTGCTTCCTAGCTGGAGCAGTGAGGGCTGGCTGACAAGGGGGTGGGGGGTAAGGGAGGGGGGATGGGACAGACCTCCCCAGACAAACCCTGGCTGGGGTCTGGCAGGAGGAAGAAGTGATATGTAACCCTGCGCAGTCCTGCTGCTGTAATTCTGGCCTACAAGTCCCAGAGACCTCAGAGGCTGGAGGAGGAACCAGCCAGAGAGCCATGCTCTAACACCCCCTGGTGCCTGGCCTGAGCCACTGCAGGCGTGTGACTGCATTTCATGTATCAAAGGTAAATGTCTGTTCACTTCTGTTTCAATTTAATCTGTGCATTTTAGGCTAACCTACAAAGACTGAACCGATTCAGTCCCGGGCTTTTCAACTGTCTGTACCTAGCCAAGAAGTTCAGGAAGTGGCAGCTATTTTCTGATGTCCTACTGAAAAGTAGAACAACAAAGCAAGCTTTCTAAAGGTCCCCATTTTCTTCACTTGAACTTAACTTTGGGTACATCTGCACAGCACAATGTAACCTCAGGTAGAGATACCCAAGCTAGCTCATATCTCAGAAGCAATGTAGATACATTAGTATACTCTGCATAGACTAATAATTCCTACTTCGGCAGAGTGCTCCACTAATGCAGCTATATGCCTTCAAGTACCTAAGCAGAGTTAGCTTGTACCTAGCACTCCATTATGCCACAAACATATCTTTTATCGCAGAAATAGTAGCATAGCATCATGTGGAGACGTGACAGTTTAGCTCCACCTGATCACAGTAATAGAGGTGGTATAAGGGAACAGCAACCACTGAAAATGACTCTTCTTAAGCACAACTGATGTCAAGTTTGAGGTGGTTTTCAGGGACCATTATGCCTACATTTGTCTTGCTCTCCCACTACTAAAACAGAAGCCTCTATGAGCTGAGTCTGAGATGTTTTCCTATCAGTATGAATAAAAATCTCCTGTATAAAAGTGTAAAACATTACAGACTGAAATAATTTTCCTGATTTCAATTACAGGGGTGGCTGCAACTTATGCTACTACTAAGGTAAATATGGTATTATTAAACAGGCAAAGGAAGGTATCACTGAAGTATAAGTAGACTGTTGACAGGCAGCTTGTGAGCAGACAGCTGAAGATGACTGTCAATATATAGGGGATTGGCTCCTCCAACAT